GGGGCAAGCGTACGAGATCCCAGGCGGCAGGGAGGGCTGTCCCTCGCCCTTTGCTCCCTCAGTGCCATCGCGTGGTTGGGCGACGATCACTCGGGAATGACACGGAGATAGGGAATTGTTAAAGAGGCGGCGGGGTTAAATGTAGTTAAAGCACAGCCGGGAAGGAGTCCGAGCTTGGCTGTGGAAGAAACCCTCGAGTAGGGGTGGTACTGGGGACACAGACTCGCACAGCTGCGAGTAAGCCACCCTTTTAGGGGCTTCCAGCAAGGCCTTTTTTCTCCAGAGACAGATCCAGGCTGCCATCATACTGCCCTTACCCAAGGGAAGGCAGAGCAGCAAAAGGGACTTTCCATCCTGCACCACCTCACTGGTCAGTTTGGCAATGGCAAGCCGAGCCCTGTATACCAGTACTGGTCTCTCTAATGCCCTGTCCACAAAAGGTGCTGCCTTGCCACTTCATCAGTGTTTCCCTGCTTGCATCCCCAAGGATCACATTTGCTTCGTTATCATATTGCTCTCTAACCACCTCTTTGGATGGTTCCGTGTCACTGTTCCTAAGTCCCTTCCCAGTCTAGTTGCTTTATGACCCAGGAAGATCAGAGTATATCTCCATTTAAGCACTAGGAGAAAAAAACCAAACAAACAACAACAGACTAACTTCATTCACTGAGAAGTTCTTCCAGCTTTCCTCACCACTGTCAAGTTTAACTGTTTGCCTTGGTGCCACTACAGCATACTCAAATGCTATGTTAGCTGTAACCTGAATCCCATGCACATCGAAATCCTCAAAGCCCTCACATAAAACATAATAGCGTTTTTAACTCATGCTCACTTCTCACATATGACATATGCTACTCGACAGCTGAGGGAACTGACATTCAAACACCAATGGCTTTGACAGGAAGTCATGTATAAGATAGTCCTTCACCCCAGTGTTACCCTGTTCCTTGGATAGGTCTTACCGCCCTGTTTTAAAAGCTTCAGATGCAAGTGGACTTGCATCTCACCACCCATGTTCTCAGGATGGACTGTTCCTTGGACATATCTTTACATGCCATTCCTACTACAAGGTGCTAACCTGTAGCTGGAGACCATATACCAGAACGTACAGCCACTCTGTCATAGAAATGTTATTGTACAGCATGGCTTCTGTCAGTCATATTAGTTCATTTTGTGTAACATGTCTGCTGCAGAGATTAGTTATCACAAAAGATTGATCATGAGAACTCAAGTGTATCGTAAAAAAACCAGCTCTGCAATACTTCTACATTTAAAGTGACTTGAGGTCAAGTCCATTTTCAGAGCAGGTAAGTGAGGACACAAATAGCACCTGAAAATGGGCTCCTAGAGGTTTCTTTGATTTTTCCACTCACACTTTTCCTGCCTCTTGGTGATGGGGAATATACCTGCACCAACAAAAAGTGAAATTCCACGTACAGGATCTTGATCCTGCAGGGTGCAGGTATTGAACACACACGTCCTCATTCCCATAATCCCTACTAAGCAAGAGAGCAGGAACACTACCGCTACCCTTCATGCTGTGAAAGGGGGTTCAAAGAAAAAAAAAAGTTTTGAGTTATTTTTTTCATGCAATAGCACACTTTTAATTTGCTTTTCTTAAAAAATCCCAAAACAACAACAAAAAAACAAACACAGAAGAAGTTGTATTCAGTTTTTATGATTAGCTTTCTAAAATTGTTACATCTGAAAATAATATGGTTTTGTTTGCTGGAAACACTTTTCCTTCCTACTTCTCCAATTTTGCCATTGTTCATGAAAACTTTAAATGAGTTACTTTTCATCAGTTCAGTCAAGATACTACTTAAACATTTTCATTGGTTTTTTTTTCTTTTTTTTCCCCTCCTCAGAATGACTCAGTGGTACCAGCTACAGCAACTTGATTCCAAGTTTTTGGAGCAAGTTCACCAGCTATACGATGACAGCTTTCCTATGGAAATCAGGCAGTACCTGGCACAGTGGCTGGAAAACCAGGATTGGTAAGCATAGAAATTGTCCTTCAGGTTGTGTGATAAGCTATGTTCTTATATGAGAAGCAGAATACTGGGGAAACAAGCTGCTGTGTGAACCCTTGCCAGTAGGATGCTTCAGTAGCTGTGTGGGTACTATAGCCTGTATTCCTGCCTCTCTTCGGGGCTTTCTAGAGAGGCCTGACATCTAGAGTAGCAAGTGTACTGTGTCTCCCTCAATTGGTCTGTAACAAAAGTGACTGTTTTAAGACCAATCAGTTACTCCATTGGCACCTCAGTCTCTCACTGTTTGCAGACTTTGAACTTTTGCCAAGGTTTCTGTGGAGTGTCTTTTAGAACAGTGGTGCAACGTGCACATGCATCAGGTTCACTTTTAGCTTCTTGATGTGCATGGAATGAATAAATGGAATTGCACAGAATGTGGCAAGAATAATGCAGAGAAAAACAACATTTCTGTATCAAGGAGAGTAAAGTCAAAGTTAAGAGAATGAAGCTGCCGTACGGTGGAAGGTAACACTGTTTGCATATACTACAACTGTAATTGGGGATCAAAAATAAAGTGCTCATGTATGCATTTCTTGAATGCTGTATTGAAAGTGTATTTAACACAATCATGCCTTAAATTATTCTAGGGAACATGCAGCCAACAACGTATCTTTTGCTACGGTGTTATTCCATGACCTACTGTCACAGCTTGATGATCAATTTAGTAGATTCTTGATAGAAAACAACTTTTTGCTGCAACACAACATAAGAAAAAGCAAACGTAATCTTCAGGTATGCCTGGGATATGTGCCTATACATTTGCTTGAATTGCTTCAGTAGTGCAGTTGGATGCCTTTAAGCAAACTACCCTGTCATAAAAGATTTTCACAGAGAATGCATGAGAATCCTATTTTTAAAAGCCAGAATTCAAATGTTGCTCTATTTTTGTTTTAAATGGCTACGGTTAGAAAGTTAGTTTCATTACCAGTAGAGTTGCGGTTTCTGAGAACTCTAGAAAGAAAGTTAGTTATACTTTGTAAGGTATGTACTATATGCAGTTTCATTTACCCCATCCCTTCCCCAGCTGTTTCCTCCATGTCCTAACAAGCTTCTGATGTATTAAATACAGAGGAGAAGAAATCCTTCCCATGTAACTGCAGAATTACAGTTAATAGCAAAGAACTTGTCATTAGATAGCACCTCTGTGTATTGTATTTTACTGACAAAGAAAAGGACCTAAGCAATTGATAGTGAGTGGCAGGGCAGAACATATCCTTCATGGACTTCATTACTTTCATTAGTCAGTCCTCCCTGTAGGGCTCTGTGCCAGAGGATCTTCTACACCTTCTCCACAGCCTATTTCCCACACACCTAGCTTCTCCTCACCACAAGTCTGTGACTCTGCAAGTGTTTTCTGAGGAGAAGAAAGCATGACTAGGCTGTATTTATCTGATAGTAACTATAGATCAGCAATGAAAGATCAGTCAAGAAGGCTGGTACAGCTCAGCAACCTCCAGGGTAGCCACCATCCTGGGCAGAGCAGGACAGAGCATGTTTTGACTTCGTATGCATGTAAAATGATAAGGTTTAATTTATATCCAACCTTGGCTGCATGTTCATAAGTGGCAGCTATCAGATCTCCTTTATGTCACTGAGCAAGACCTGTACCTATCAAACTAGAACAACCATCCTTCAGAACCAACAGCTGTACTTCAAAGGTGTGGGAGGGTGACTCTCAAGAGAAGATAAACTTTCTAGGACTGTAGGGTAGTATCTCACTTCTCCAGTAATGTCTCTGACCCTTCCCTATTGCTTTGTGCCAAGTCCCATCTCTTTGTATCTTGGAGAGGGTTGCAGCTGTCACACTGTCTGTAGTCTTGGAGCATGCTATGACCAATGCATGCCCTGATCTCACACAGTTGCCCACTAATCTTTTTGCCAGTTTACTGAAGGACAAGAGATTACGAGTACGAACTTTAACAATACATTGTCTCTCATGCCAGGATAACTTCCAGGAAGACCCAATACACATGGCAATGATCATCTACAACTGTCTGAAAGAAGAGAGGAAAATACTGAACAGTGCCCAGTTGTCAAATCAGGTGACTTAGTCTTGGAATGTCTACTGCAGTTGTAGCTGCCCTTCCCTATTATTTGGGTCAGAGAGAGTGGAAGAAGACTGAAAGAGGAAAGAAGCTGTCCTCTCTCTGTCCAACAACAAGTCTTTTAAAGACAGAAGAGTGAACACTAATATGTACCAGTTGGACAGTGTTGCTTGTTTGTGCAACGTGAGACATTTAGAGGGGAAGTGGCCAAGAAGTAAATTTTATTCCTTGAGTGATGTGAAAGCTAAAATTTTTAATGCTTCTGTACTATAGCTGGATGTGCTTATCAGGTTTTATTACAATTCAATAATTTGTGCTTGCTTTATTTCTCCAACAAGATCTTAGCTTTTTTCTTCTGCATTTTATTCCTGAATTTATTATCTATCAAGCAACTGAGGCTTGGTGCTTCTCTGGACTGTGTCTCCAGGAATATGATGCATCAGTCTCCTTCCCAGTTATCTCCCAAGTACATATATATTTTATTTTTTTAATTTATTTTTTTTTTAGTGAAGCCAACCATTACCATATGGTAAAGCCATATTTTTCTCCTTCTTCATCTGTTCTTTGACTTCATCTTTTTGGGTTGGTTTTTTGTTTGTTGTTTTTTTTGTTTTGGTTTGGTTTTTGGCTTTTTTTCCTCCTTGGCAAGGAGAGCTGTTTTGCAATAAAAGAAATTCTGCAGTTGAGAAAGGCATGCAAACTATATAGCTAGATGTAATCCACTTATGTAGTAATAAAGGGATGACACACCAACCATATTAAGTTCCTTTAATGAAATACTTCCCTTTTGAATGTGTTATAGAGAGTGGGAAGAGCACTCAGGCATAACCTTTCCACAAGAGTTCTAATGCAACACTGTCCAAAAACCAACTCCTCAAACTCTGACTGACACAGCCATTCCCCGATGCCTTGTAGCTGCAGCACAGCTGTTCAGTTTCTGTTCTGGCACATGATGTTAAGCACACGCAACTGCCTTTCCAGTATGCTATACATATGAGTCATCAAAAAGGGAAATAAGTCATCCTGTACTTACTGTTGGCACTAGGTACAACATCATGCCCATTCTTATTTTCCAAAGCTGAGAAGATAAAATGCAGAGCAAACACAGTTATAAGCATCATAAAACCTAAAGGAGAATTCCAAGTGTTAGAGTATGCTCAGATTGCCAAAATAAATACTTTAGATGACCTTAGCTTAAGTTGAAGTGTAAGTCAGAGCAGCAATGCATACTATACACCAATAGTACTGCTAATGTGTGAAGCCAAAAATCCTGTCTTTGAAATTACTGCAACTGTCCCTAAGTGATGTCATACAATAAGCTTTCCTAATGATACTGAGGTCAGCTTTCAAAGAAACTATACAGAGATCTAAAATGTGCTTGAATGCCCTGTATGAAAGAAATTGCATACGAGGTTACCCCATTTGTCTGACACAGATCTATTTTGTTCTTGCTCTTAGCCCGTTTCTCCCAATATCCTGTATCCTATATAACATCTAATATAGATGTCATCCAACATTCAGAGTTGCAGATTTCTTTAAATACATTCAGAAGATACATGAAGATAAGCAAATGAAAGAATGTAGCTGTGCAAAGAGGAAACAGAATTTGTTTGTAGCTTTATATTGGTATGATAAGAAAATGCAGCATTACCACACAGATATTTTTAATCCTCCTCTGTTTTCTTTCACTTGAACTTGATTTTATGTTGTAAAACAAAATAAGCTATGCTTCATCAAGCTGTTTGCAAACAAAAGCCACTAACTTACAATACAAAAAAAGTATACACTGTCATGGGTCACTCAGGTTTGACTTCTTGTTCTGCTTGCTTCCCTCAGATGGAAGTGGGGGGCATACAGAACACTGTGATTGGGATGCTGGACAAACAGAAGGAGCTTGATGCAAAAGTTAAGGCTGTAAAAAACAGTGTTGTGGTAAGTATAGTATAACTTTTAAAAAAGTGGCACTTGTTGATACATACATGTTGAAAAGCTTTCAGTACATAAAATAAGACTTTTTAAAATGACAAGTAAAATAAGATAATGATTTGGTTTCAAGTCTCACCAGTGACTGTTTGAAAATAGAAAGTAATCATTTTGTCAATAGTACCATAATACAGATTGGGATTTGACTGGTTTAGCTAAATGAAATTTGTTGTGCTTGAGTTTTAGCAACAAAAACATTTTACCCATCTGAAGCACCAGCAACTGAGGGAAAACTCTTAAGAAATCATATACTGACCATTTTGTCGTTAACTAGAAGATAGATTTGTAAGTTAGCCTATGGGTATTTATTGTCTTAACAAACACTATCCTGACAAAAAGCTTTTCTCCAAACAATACCTAAGAAATTGAAAGTTTGTTTAAAACGCTGTGTGCTGTTCCACAGGTTCGCCAGAATTATGTGACCTTACATAGTTAGACAATGACAGCTTTTCCATATTTTGTAATTAGCAGATTTTAGTTAGCTGAGAAGAAGAAGAGAGGGTGAATAGAAGGTGATAAAGTTTAGGGGTATTTCCTTTCAGGGAGTTTCAGGCAAAAGCATTGCTGTGAAACTGGACTTCATCTCTAAGTGTCTGGTGTCAGGCAGTTCCTAATCAGAAGTTTTCCATTACACGAAAGTATTGAATAATTGTGACCACTTTGATTTGTGCTTTATAGGATGTGGAACAAGACATCAAGACATTAGAGGATATGCAAGATGAATATGATTTTAAATGTAAGACCTGGCAGAACAGAGGTGAGTAATCAGGGACATACTCTATTGCATATAGTACATAAGTTCCTGTCTTGTCAGAAAGCAAAACCTAATGATAGGTAGTCAGACTTACTGATAGCGTAATCCTTTACTAATTCTGCTTTCTGCTAAAACTCAGTTCCTGAAAATGCATTCTCTGCATGCGTCTGTTTGTACAAGAGGAGAGCCTCTGTTAACACAGCAGTCCTTTGTCCTTTACATCCTTTTCCTACTAGAAATAGCAAACCCTATAAACTCCATGACCATTTTAACCATACATCTCAATAGTTAATTTTACATTTCTTTGCCAACTTGTATTTCGCAAATGCCTTCCCTGCTTCAAGTTTTGTAGGCTCTTGTGTACTGAAGGACACATACGCAGCTGTAGTCCATGCTGGTTTCATTATATAGATCTGTCTCTCTTTGACTACTTTGTTCTAGAAAAGGTTTAAGTTTCCAACACAAATTGGCAGTTGACTGTCCCTCAAGAGGGACATTATTCAGAAGATACCATGGAGAGCCACTGAACCACAATCCTGCACTTTGTACTTGGAGGCAGGTAGCACTTCTGTGAGACAGACAGGAACCTCTAACTTAAGGTCAGTAGGGAGCAGAGACAGTAGCTAGGGCAACTGGGTAGGATCTGTCAGCCTGGGCTACCCTCAAGAGTCTGTAAACATCTTCCCTTGAAATAACAGTTAACATCTGTTGCCAGGTTAAGTAATGCAAGTCATTTATGTCTGAAGTCAGCATGAGAACAAAATGCTCTGTGTGCCTCTTTACACAATATAATCATTATTTTAAATCGGGTTCTTGCTGTAAAAACCAAACTCATGTCTCCATTACTTCACTGGGATAATGGCTTTTCCTTGCATTAGTGCTTTAAGTGTAGACCCTATCCTTTCAGAAGGGGGAAAGGAGGAAACACAAAAAGGTATAGGAGGCAGTAAGTATTTCCTTCCTTATGCTTTAAAGTTATTCTTCACCTGACATTAGCCATGCAGGTCCCCTCTTCCTCCCAACCAGTTTTCCCCACCCATAATTCCCTGTTTTCACAAGGGCTTGACCTGTTGTACTCCTTCAGCCTCAATTTGCACTTATTTTACAGAACACGAGTCCAACAGTGTGTCACAGGAAGAATATAAGAAAGAACAGATGAATCTCAATAAGATGTTTTTATCACTTGGCCTCAAGAGAAAGGTAGGGCTCTAGTTTTCAGAACACAACAGCACTTCATTTTGAATGCATGTGCATTTTCATTGGGTTTACATAAATTATATGGAAGAAAGCTTTTGTACTACTATCAGTTGAACTAAAATTTCATTCTTTTCATCCTCACTGAAAATCTAGAATCTCTGTAAGCAACTCTCTTCTACCAATCTTTATCAAACTCTGTCAGGTAAAGTTAAAAGAACAGTGAGGGGGGAGATGTTTCATATCAATAATCATATTCTTCAGAAAAAAGCCAATTAAAAACTTTGCATCTATATTAGTGTTAAATTGAGTGAGCACTCTCATTGCAGTGCTCAGATCTACAGCAAGTACTGGGTGACCCCAGATACACACTTGGGACATGTGAATGCGAGACAGTGGGTCTTCAGAATTCAGCAATATTGAATATACATTGTTCCTCCACTTAATCTAGCAAATACTCCAGCTAAAAAGAAGCAGGTGTTTTAGGAGATATCCTCTTGCAAAGTTTTTGCAAGACAGATAGCATTAGTAAAACAGTATTTTGTTTATTAAAATTACTTTATACAGGAAATTAATTAATATTCTCTATAGGAAGTGGTGAACAAGATAGTACAGCTACTGAACACCACAGAGCACACACAGAGTGCTCTTATTAATGAGGAGCTGGTGGAGTGGAAACACAGGCAACAGACTGCATGTATTGGTGGTCCACCCAATGCCTGTCTTGACCAGCTACAGAACTGGTAAGTCTCTAGTTAAGGACTGCATTGGCCAGGAGCTTGTAGTGTGTTATGGAGAAACACCAGATCTATGAAATATACCAGTTGTTTGTATTACACATTTTCATTCTGTAACATAACAGAATAACATAACAGCGTAACTACATTTCATTGATTTTTATTACCACATTTCCAATTAGCAAGAAGTGTTCTCTGTGCACTGCCTAGTCCTTAGGGACAGTCACCTGTCTGGTGTCTCAGCATTATTACAATACAAAAACATACTAGAAGTAATAAGACTGTGTAATTGTAGGTTCACCATTGTTGCTGAAAGTCTACAGCAAGTTCGTCAGCAGCTCAAAAAGCTTGAGGAACTGGAACAGAAGTTTACCTATGAGTCTGATCCCATCACAAAAAATAAACAAGTTCTGCAGGACCGAACATACCATCTTTTCAAACAACTCATCCAGAGGTAACAAACAAGAACGGTCTTTTTGTGTTTGCATGAATGAATGGATGGAGAGCATCTTTCCTTCTGCTCCCTCTGTATTTCCTGCACACTAACTTTGCATTTTCTGAGGCTCCCAAGTTCCCACAAACATTAAACTAAATGACCAGTTTTGAGATTTACCCTAGTTAGGGTTTCCACAGGTTTAGGCCCATGGAAAGGGTTTGTGATAAGTCATCATTTAAGTTAGCGGGATAGCTGCAATATATATGAGTTACAACTCCTAGTCTGTTAGTCCTTTTCTTGCTTTAAGCTTCGGCCCTGCAAAGTTCAAGTAAATAGAGACAAGAAGCCATCCGCAACAAGCTATGCCCAAGGTAAGTACACACTAGATCCTCAAACCCTTTGTCTCTGGGTGCATCCTCTTGTCTCCAGCATAGGGAGGCCAACTGTATCACTGTACCATCTCTATGATACAAGTCACTGTAACCAATAGTTGCCCCACATAAGACCAGAGTCCCATTCTGTAAACATACAGTGACAAGAATTTGTGCTGCAGAAGACAGAAAACTAGCAGGTAAGAGCAAGGGCTTAGACACAGTAGGTAACACCTTGTTATAGGGGGCTAGAACCCAGGTTTCCAGAGTCTCATTCAGATGCTTTGACCACTAATCTTCAATTGGAAAATACAGGTACTGCTTTTGAAGGCAATCACAGAATCTTAGGAGTTGGAAGGGAC